ACTCTTTCGTCCAAGTGCCGGATATCACGCACGCACCCACCCGGTCACTCGCCAACGCGCAAGCGCCAGAAATCTCGTACTTACGCACCAACACATGCCCTAACGCGCAATCGCAGGAGCATACATAAACACGAAAACGCACCAGTCCAAATGATCTATAATCGAAAAACTATATATGAAAAAAATATTAAAAACATATTATTAATACTTCTAATGAGTCTATGTACATGAATGAGTGAATGCGATATGAAATCGATTTATATAAAGCAACTTTTTATATGAACATTTCATTTTCATTGACCATAAATTCTATTAGGGAAAATTGTTTTTGGTCTTCATAATGAAATAGAGCCACTTTACCATAAAAACGATGAACTTATCCCTTAATACATTGAGGCATTCAATAGGCTCACTTAAATTAAATCATCAGCTCCTACGCACGCACGTACGCAGCATCTCACACTCTATCGGGCAAGTGCCGAAAATCACGCAAGTACGCAAGAACTGACACTCTATCACGCAAGCGCAGCAAATTATGCACGCACGAATCAGCTCACACTTTAACGCTCAAGCGCCGGAAACCACGCACGTACGCAACATCTCACATTCTACCGCGCAAGCGCCGGAAATCACGCACGAACGCACCAATACATGCTCTATCGCGCAAGCGACCGAATGGCGCAAGTACGCACCAGCTCACACTGTATCGCGTAAGCGCGCGCGCATACATACGCACGCACATGCACGAATAACAATGATATAAAATAAAAAATAAAGAATGAAAAAAATATTAAAGACGTATTATTTATATTGCTCATGAGTCTATGTACATGAATGTGTGAATACGGTATGGAATCGTTTTACCTAATCCAACTTATTATACGAAAATTTCATTTTCATTGACCATAAATTATATTAGGGAAAATTGTTTTTAGTCTTCATAATGAAATAGGGCCACTTCAGCATAAAAATGATGAACTTATTGCTTAATACATTGAGGCTCTCAATAGTCTCACTTAAATAAACTCAGTCGCCCCAAGGTACGCAACTACGCATCAGCTCACACTCTACCGCGCAAGCAATGGAAACCAAACACGCACGCAATAACTCACGCTCTATAGCGCAAGCGCCAGAAATCACGCACGTACGCAACAACACCCGTTCGAGCGCGCATGCGCGGCCACGTACATACGCACGCACAAGCATGAATCCAAATGATATATAATAAAAAACAATGTATGAAAAAAATATTAAAAACGGACTATCTTTAGGGCTAATGAGTATATGTCTATGAATGAGTGAATACGCTATGGCATCGATTACATAAAACAACTTTTTACATGAAAATTACATTTTCATTACCATAATTCTTTTGGAGAAAATTGTTTTTCGGATTCATAATAAAATTCAGTCACTTTCCCATAAAAACGATGAACTTATCCCAAAATACATTGAGGCTCC